AGCTTTGCCAAACATGCACTTATTTTGATGGTTTTGGTTCAAATTGATGAACTGGTAATCATACTTGTATAAAACAGCAAACTAACTTTGTTGGTAGGACACAGGTACAAGTGCAGCCAGTACATCTCATGGCTAGATGCAAATGTTAATATCATTCAGCATCAGGCAAGACTCCAAGCCTCTGCTTCTGCTGCCTCAAAAAAATTGGTGGAAAGTGTCCGCACACTCCGCACACCGGGGTTTTGAACTTTTTTGTTTAAATTTAATCATGCAACCTAATTTTGTTTTGTTTGTTATTTTATTAGTTAAAAATATGTATTGAATATAATAAAAAAATATAATTACAAGAATCTAAAAAATAATAATAATCATTCTTCAAACAAAGAAATATTTAACTTCAATATAATACAAAAAAAAAAATCTAAAAAAAGGTTATGAAGAAGACAAAAATGAAAAAATAAAACCAGTGAAAATTTGTCATTATTCTTCCAATGGGAAATCAGTCACCAGTATGAATTTATTGTGTGGTGTTGAAATTTTTTTAAATAATCATAATAAATCTTCTTATTACTACGCTAATAAAATTACAGTAATTTTTTTTTTACAAATGGCATAAAAAAATTATTTTTATCTTCAACAAAAAGCACATTTAAAAATTAGCAATTTCATAATCACTTTTTTTTAATTCCCCGAAATACAATTATAAAAAAAGAAACAACATTTAGTACTAAGAAATTCAATATTAAATAAATTTTATACATTTATAACAAATTAGTAGCAATGCAACCGTATATGCAAACATAGCGTATGTATTGTATTTGCAGCTTACCAACAGCATATACGGTATGCTGTAAATACGGTATTTGCAGTTTACCGTATATGCTGCTTATCGTATTTGCAACCTATTGTATTTGTAGCTTACCCAACGTATTTGCAGTAAGTATATATTGTCTACCGTATTTGCAGCTTACTATATATACCAATTTTTGCACTTATAAATACCGAGAATGCAAACACCGTACATTCTCTTACCAAACCAAATGTAAAAAAATATATATAAAAATAAAAATAAAAATAAAAATTTCAGATTTTTATTTTTTTAACATAAGTATAAAATAAATATTAAAATATATGAAGGACAAAATATAAATACATATGAATATGCAAGTCGATTTATAACTTTGTGCTCAATCTTCAATTTTCCAATACTGAATTACACAAAATTTAGAAATATAACCTTCATTTCCAACTCAATCATATAAACACTATCAAAGAATATTGGTAAAATAGTTTATATAATCTCGTATATTTCTTATCTAAGTATGAAATATACAACCATATTTTTTTACTGTTGCAATTGTAAAAATAATTTACAATTATTTTCTTATATCGTGGAAATATTTCTAGATATTGCTTCAAAAACTTTCCTAAAATTTAAAATTCATAAATTAATAAAAATACGATAAATATAAAATTCATATAACGCACGCGACAATGACTTGTAACAAATCAAGTCGGCAAGACAAGGCATAGCTCCTGAAAATTCTTTTTAATTAAAAAAACTATTTTTAGAATCTAATTAAAAGCAATTTCATCATCTGTACGTAAGCCTGACCCTATCAGTCAAAAAAATCAGTGATTAATTAAATAATTTTAAGATGGGACAGATCCAGCATGATTTCTTTAATGAAACATAAAACGTATGAATCATTGTTGAAAATATTTTTTTAATTAATTATTTACAATTGTGCAGATAGTGAAGAGGTTGGTGAGATTTCATAAATCATATTTTTATATTTATTTATTTGTATTCTTCAGGGAAATTAAGGATTCTACTGTATTACGAATTCGAGTTCAAAATTTACGATGATTAAAAAAATACTATTATTATTTAACAGTATAAAAACAATCTTGGCCAAAAAAAAAAAAAAAAAAAAAAAAAAATTCTTCAATATTCAATGAACTTAGACCATCATATTTTCCGGCACTTGTACAATGTACCAAAATACTATGATTCCCGAAGTTCATCATATTGTGCGCCCTTGTGCAATGTACTGAAATACTATGAATCCCAACTTCATGCTAGGATTCTTAATAGGGTTAGTTTCATTTTTTGGTCATGGAGAGTGAAACATTAAGTCCCGTTTGACCTCCTTTAAAACTTTTCAATTCAATTTAATTTTTTCTTTCTCATACTTTTAACCACGCAATTTTCAATAAAATAATATTACATTCAAATTGAAATCTTTTTAGTCACACAATTTTCAAAAAGATACTATTCCTCCATTATAAATTCAAATAATGGGATCAAACGGGACTAAATGAGTCATCTAATTATGTTTAATACTATTATAATTTAATAGTGTTGTTTTGTAACATTCGTAAGGTGTAAGATAAACAAGAAAACTTAAAATAATTTCATTTTGTGTATTTAAGTTAATGTCTTGGGATTATATATACATGAGAGAAGGATGAAAATAGTTAACAATTCCATTGATGTTCCAAAACTTTTTCTTTCCATATTTAGACATTTATGCTGCGTCTTAGTTTCCACGATATATTCATCTAATTTCAATCCAAATACCAATAGATTATTAAGTGTAACTTAAGATTGAGCCCTAATGCCTATTAAGAAAACAAAACTCGAGAGAAAAAAAGAAGATAAATTTTAGTTCCAAGCAAAGGATAAGCAAATCTTGTTGAAATTACGATAAATAATAGTATTTTCTTGTCGAAATTAATAAAATCAAAACTTCATTTGTTTATAATAATTTTTGTATGGGCGCGTTCAACTTGACCGGTTGATATAGGGTGATTACATGCCTAGTTTCTTAAGCTTTGTCTAGTCTAATTTGATATCTTAACTAGTTGAACATGCAACTAGGCCATGGAATTGATTACGTGTCTAATTTTTTAAGTTCTGTCGAATATTAACCAGTAAAACGTTCAACTCAACCATGGAGTTAATTACATTTCTAGAATTGTCTAGTCATAATCAACACCTTAACTATTTAGATAGGCATCTTTACTTTAGACTCAACTAGTTTCTTAAAGTTTGCTCTCGTTAATCTTTCTACTGACTTTGTCTCTTTTTCATGTTGAACAAATACATATTTTAATTCTCTTTCCTTTGTGGGCAACAATCACAAACCTTATCCCTTTCATTTTTAATTACGAGGTAACGAGAAAAAATGTCCTAAATAATATAGTCATTTTCTCATTCAAGAAATATCACGAATTAAGATCAACAATAAAAATTGGAATCTCCACGTTCAAACTATATTAAAGGTGAAAAAAAAAATACATTTAATATTGACGACACTATTCATTTTGCACCAGATAAAAAATAATTAAAGATCGTAAAGAACGACATAAATCAATAATACGAGTCATTTGTCATTTTTCACTTTTGAATTAATTCCCAAAAGAAATAGAATTAAATAATGGCATTTTGGTAACTCTATTGCTTTGCAAGGGTGAATATATTAGGCGGTCAAACACTGTCGAGAATCCTCCGAGCTTCTCAGGAGCCCCAAAACCTTAATATATACATACGATTGTACTGACAACAACGCGATTGATCTTCGTAAATTTCTCAAACCCTAAATCCTCAAGTGATTACCTGCTCGAAAGGTAGAATTCTCTCTACTTCTCTATTCATATACCTGTTTGTCTGTGCATGTGAATTAGTGTTTTTCCCTAAAAATTTCATGTTCAAGTTTCGATTTTTTTCATTCTCTATCTGTTGAATTCAGGTAACGGATATGTAGATATAAATCTGAGTTAATTTATCANTGTTCAAGTTTCGATTTTTTTCATTCTCTATCTGTTGAATTCAGGTAACGGATATGTAGATATAAATCTGAGTTAATTTATCATAACAATTAACTGAATTAAGACCCTTCTTTTTTGCTGTATTGAATTTATGAAGTTCTCATTTTTTCGGCGGATCGATTCAATTTTTTTAGTTTCTTGGAATTATGCATTTTTCTTAGTGTTTTTGTGGTATTAAATCTGTCGGGCCTCTGATAGATTAAATCCAACTTTCGGTATTTCTTATTTCATCAGTTTTGAACTGTTTAACAGGCGTTGCTGGTGGAAGAAAAAGGATGAATAATAGTTCCCATTTGAATGCATAATTTTTGGTCCAATTTGCAAATTTATAATTCAGTTAGTGCCCCAACTGTGTTTATTCGCATTGTTGTGTGAGTTTTGACTCTATTAAGATTGGGGGTCTTCTTCAATTAGAGGACCCTACAGATTGGGATCATACAGTTGAGGTAACGGTTTCTGAGGGGTTTGTTGGTTGGGTTTTCTATAAAAATGCCAGCTGTACAGAAGCTTTATAATGCGTGTAAAGCATCTCTTTCGCCGAATGGACCCGTGTCAGAAGAGGCTCTCGACAAAGTTCGCAATCTATTAGGTAAAAAGATAATAAATATTTGTCGTCATTTATTTTGCATATCACATTTTTAATCATGATTCCTCCTAAATGTTAAATGAGAATTGGTTTGTTGTATTAAATTAAATGACATTTTTATGCTGAATAAACATATTTAACGTGCAATCTATCTGCACAAGTATTATATGAGTTGGTTATGTATTTGCCATTTGCCAGCACCAGTTGATGAATATGGAAATATAATTGGGCTCTTTTGGTAAGCAAGAATAACTTGTTAACTTTTATGTTATTTAGGCCCCGCTTGGTACACATTAATGTAAAAATGAGAATGAAAAATATAGCCGTTACGAACCCACACAAGAGATAGAAAGTCAAATATAGTGGCTTGATGTGATGGATAACGGTCATATTTTTCATTTTAATGAGCTAATAATCGGAAACAAATGGGGGCTTGCTAGAGCTGCTGTGTATATATATATTTTTTAATCAATAATGGAATTATATTTCGTGCTTCCTGAATACACTGATGGACACAAGAGTTCAGATTACACGAAATATGTATATCTAGTATTTATTTGAATTCTCCCTGATTTATTTGTGTAAATTTACATTACATTTAGCATTGGCTGATTAGATCTCCTCTTGTCTGTGTAAATGCAATGTAATGATTTTGTTGATGTAAAATCTAATATAACTGTTTTAAAAGGGAGATAATTGTGGCAGTTGATGATCCCATTGCCAACAGAAAAGTTCTGCTCGTGTAAAATGACAGTCGTGTCTCCAGCACAATATAGCTGCCATGTGCACTATCATGGCGATATGACAGTAGTGGATAATGCTCTGCTTTAGATATTTTCTATGTAAACTTTGGATATGCCAGTAGATTTTATGTTGGGCTAGGTTTTACAAGCACTAGAGTTTGACTCCTTAGGAATTCCTCTGAGTCTATAAAACAAAGAGGTTGGTGTTCATTTTTCAATTTAACTTATGAACCTCTTGATTTTATGTTTCCTTGCCTTTTAGGTCATCATTATAGCAATGGTCACCTTTGGTTGGGATTCTGATTGGATGAGTAATAGTTTCACTTTGGCACATTGAACAGCTTAAGTATTGGTGTAGTTATTTACAAGAATTATATTGGTTTGATATAGTCTGGGTCTTTCAGCTCTCAAAACCAAGTTTTTCTAAGTTAATGCCAAAATTCAACTCTATTGTGTCTATAGTGTTCTTGCAGTAATCTCTGTAACTCTTTCAACATCTTCATGGGCTCTTTAATGTGCATATGCACATTATTTTTTCCCATCCTTAAATAGAAATTTGATTAGATTTATTCTTGCATCCTCAAGTGCAATTTCACTAGAATTTCATATGCGAATTTAAAAGCTTGGATTAGTGGCTTATCCAAATTTTTAGTGTTCAATTATTTTAGTAGCTAGTACTTGTGGGATCAAGGTAAATACAGCATATGATTACCAATAATTCTACTAGTAGATGTTATCAACATTATTCACCACTATGCATTGCACCACCTGAGTTGTACATCCAAAATAAACCGAGAATTTGGACATCGATTAGGGCTCTATTAGCGTTATTCTAAGTCATGACTTGCTATTTGTTCAAGATTATTTACTTCACTTTCTTCAAATCTTGTTCATTATCTTGAGAAATGTAATATTTGTTTCTCTTTGTCAAATTTTTGGTGGACGCAATGTGCTTGCGTGGAAGAAATAATTTTCTGCACGGTCGAGAAAAGTTATGTGTGTGTAACGTTGTATAATATGGCTTGCTGCTTCTTTCTGTGTTTGGTTTCTTTTTCGGTTAAGAATAATAGCTTATAGGAAGTGGGAACAGAACATTGAATTGAGACTATTCTGTGTCAACTTTGTTATGAATTTCTCAATATTGGGCCTTCTCTGACAAGATTGAACTTCATTTTTATTTTTTTTTGGGTTACTTTTTATTGTCATGTGCTGTCTGCAATTCCTCAAGTTGTGCACAGTATCTTCATTTCTGAATTCTGATCATGTTAGTCCACTAACAAGGAAAAACATAGCTTCATACTGTGTTGGAGCACTAAAAACATTGCAATGAGCCCACTTTAGGATTATGGTGTTAAAATATGTAGAGATTCAAGAAATGAATGCCAGCCTTGGATGTTTTAATTCAATTGGTTTTTAGAATTAACTAGTTGTATGCTTCCAGGAATAGTGACAATTATGGAAGAAATGGCTGTAAGAGTGGTTTAAGAAGACCTCCTACTTGATAGGTTGTGTGTAAGTATGATGTGTTACGTATGGAGACATTTGTATGCTTGTGCATGTCACAGAGGGAGCACGAACTTGATAAGCTATGGATAAGTAAGTGTACATGAAGTACATCAGAACAAATAGTCTCCATTGTGCAGAATCTGTTTGGCATGACGTGGATATATATTGCTTTCGGGAACTTATCTGTATATGCTTGTGCATATCACTAGGTGAAAGCTGATTTGCTCACTACATTGTTTTACTAGTTAAAAATTTGTTCTACAAATTGCCCAGCTCTATTTATATACTTTGCATAGACCTAGGGATTTAAGCTCTGTATACCGGCGATCTCTGTGAGAGAGAAATATTGAACATTTCCATGAAATCTGAACTACTTTCTCGTGATACTCAGTAAATTGGAATGGATAAGAGGTGTTGTTTTCATGGCTATGATTTTATTCTACTGATTTCCTTTATGTAATGGTTTAATTTTCTGCTTCAAAAGGCAAACAAAGGCACTACAGAAATATGGGACTACATTGTTTTTCGAAATATTGAGGAAAATTATTTTCTATTCCTTAGATCTTCTTTTCGATTCTCTGTGTAAATTGATTAAAGAAAAAATCATCACTTTCACCCTCTAGTGCTCTCATCTTTTTAATGGGTTACGTTCTTCCTTCATCAAAGATACTTTAAAATGATTGAGCAAGCTTTGGCAGGAGAATACCTTTGGATTCCAAGATATTCTTGCTGAAATGCAAGATATTACATGATGGGTACGTATTAAGTCCCAGTAGGAGACTGCTGGGAAGCTCATATACGGTAGAGATAAGTATTTTGTCAAAATAACTTAAGCTCACAACCTTGCTACTAGGGATACTATTCTGTTTGGATCTATTAGAAGTTTTTCATTAAATTATGTGGTGAAGAAATACATCTAATGTCTGTTTGGACCACTCTAGTTTTTCGAGGAGCACAAATGTGATCTAATAAAACATAGTAACATTATGTATAACAAAGGACAAAAGCATAGGAAAAGGAATTAATGTGTGTGTGTGTGTACTATAGAAACAAGAAACGAACATTACACGATTTTTATTTTTGATATGTAGTGCATTGTTGTAGTTTTAT